TAATATAAACTTAAACTATGTCTTTTTAATTTTTCTTTAATTGGGTATCTCTTATGTTTGGTACAGTCTGATGATAAATGATAAGAGCTATAATATTATGATAAATTTTTGCCTTTGGCGTTAAGTATTAGTATTCAGTTATTTTAATTAATGTATGCTTTTGACCAATTTTTAGTAACATACAGAAAAAAATCCTTGATGATTTTTCAGTATATATCAGTTTATAAAATAAGAATATATCTTAAATGAAAATAATTGATCTATCACTTATTCAGAAAATCCCATATTATTGAGATTGTTTATACTGTATACTATAAATTTATGTATTTGAATCCTTAATCACATTCTCAATGTCTTTGTTAAAAGAACAAAATAAGAAAAATGTGTGAGACTCAGCAATATAAGCATTTCTGGGAAAGATCAGGTATTAAAATTTGTTTACATATCTAATCACTTTTTTTACCCCATATGTAATCCATGATTCCTAGATCCGATTATAATGAACTACAGTAACTTGGAAATGGGAATCATTTTCATCACTCAGAACGGAGCAGGAATTCTGGGAAACACCTCCCTTCTTTGTCTCTATTCCTTCGCTCTACTCACTGGACATAAGATGAGGCCCACAGACTTGATTGTTAACCAGTTGGTTTTAGCCAACAACTTGGTTCTTTCCTCCAGGGGCATTTCACAGACAATGGAGGCTTTTGGATGGAGAAACTTCCTGGGTGATATTGGATGTAAGGTTGTGATGTATTTACATCGAGTGGCGAGAGGGGTGTCACTTAACACCACCTGCCTCCTCAGTGGTTTCCAGGCCCTCAGGCTTCGTCCCAGTAGCCCTCGGTGGATAAGGTCCCCAATGAACATTGCCTTGTGCTGTTCTCTCTGCTGGTTTCTAAACCTCCTGATGAACTCATTTATTCCAATAAAAGTACTTGACTCCCAAAACATCCAAAATGGAAGTGGGGCAAAAAGTTTTGGATATTGCTCTTCAAATAGAAGAAATACATTTACAGAGTCACTACACACAGCCCTGTTTTTTTCCACCGATGCTGTGTGTCTGGTTCTCATGCTCTGGGCCAGTGGCTTCATGGTCCTTGTTCTGCACAGACACAGACAACAAGTCCAATACATTCACAGAAACAGCCTCTCCCCACGACCTTCCCCTGAGGCCAGAATCACACGCACCATCCTGATGCTTGTGACCACCTTTCTC